TTTTGTTACTATATAAACCTGTGTCGGTTCTTTAACCTCACTATGACTGGGTTTCTATTTAAAAACCTGTCAGTCATTATCAGCAGAATACACAATAATACTCATGAAAGTCTTTAGAGTGGCACATAGTGAACTCTCAGTAACATTGTCCATCATTATCAGTATCAGCCATGACTCAGTGTTCTTAACATTTTAGGACAATTGCATGGTCATGACCAAGCTGAATAAATGGAATTATGAACATCACAAAACCCAGGTTATCTCATTTTTTTCCTCTGAGTAAAAACAAACCCAAGGCAGTGTAGACAGACTAGACCAGCATTCATTGTGTCTGCCCTGCTTTTGTCTTTTGTTAAAACTGTGTGGCTAAGGAGCAGGAGACTGGGGCAGGGTACAGGGGCTTACAGTACTGTCTCAATGAGAACTTCAGGAAGACCCAGTCTTGAACAAGAACTTGGCCCGACCCAGGTGTGGAGGGATGAGCCTTTCCCTGGACATAGATGTGGCAATGATGATTACTTGTGGGAAATCACTTAATCTTCCTCTTCTCCTATGTGGGAAATCACTTAGCCCTCCTTTTCTCTTATGCCAGGTACTGTGGACAGGGGAGAGTTTGGAAGCAGAGATTGGGAGGACCTTAGGAGTGAAAGCACTCTTCTCTCTCTGTGTTGTACTTAGGGATGCAGCATACCCGGGGCCAGGTGTCCCTCGTCACATTTTCACAAAAACCTGCCCATGAAAGCATATATACCAAACATAAAATTGTGTTGATAGTCGTGTTCCTGACACTGCTAAGGGTTTTTCTCTAAACAGTGCAGTGGTGCAGGTGTTATGACAGGTCAGTGTGGTGGATCCATCTGGGGTTGCCCCAAACACCAAGTCAGATTCCATACAGTTGCACAGCTGCAGTGACCAGAGAGACTATGATAGAGAAAATCCTCACTGAAGGGGTCACCTTTGTAACACATGCTTTTTATTTATAAAATGTGTTGTCACCAAGTATTATACAGCAAGGGGAACAGGTGCCGACGCCGACATTGAACAGGCTGAAAGAAGCAAAGGCAGAGACAGACTGGCCCTCTTTTACCAGGATTCTAAGACAGGGTTGTACTTTGAAAAACATCATCACTACGTGAAAGTGAACGTATTCCAAGCCAGTGTTCGGAGATGCCGTTAGGGTGTCTTTACCCAACACTTGATCCCAAACTGAAGGACAAATGAATCTTACGGGGCTTCCCTGGGATTTGTGCACTGATTTGTTTCCAAAACAAGAATACTTCTTTTACCGATTTTAATGCATGGGAAATTTATGTTAAATAGTTCTGGGGAAAAATAATCATTTGAATAAATGATAAGCACGTTGAATAGCTAATGATATTTAATGACAGGATTGTCTGGTTACATTTTCTATTTTGTGACAGTCTTTGTGCTGGATCTGTGTGGTGGTGGTTTGCGTGTGTGCCTTGCTATGTTTACCATCAGTTGCCTGAAAAACACAATAACCACTGAGATGACAAATAAGATAATGCGTATTAGCATAAGATATGCGACCTGAACTGATGAGGGTGTCTCTTCCTCTGTTTGTGGTCCTGGGGGTCCACTATTGATGCTCCCTCCAAATCCTATGTCCTTACAGAATGGGGGTTCCCAGCCATACATGCAGTGGCAGTTTTTATTATTGTTGCAGACACCTCGGCCATTGCACTTGTCAGGCAAGCAATCATATTTCAGGGCTGAACTATCAATGCAACTCTTGTTAAAACACACTTGGTTTTGACCACAGAAGGTGCCGTCGTTGATCACACCTATGTCTGGTATCCCTTGGGGTATCATGGCTGAGTGATAGCCTGTGCCCCAGCACATGAGATCATCCAACTTCAGATAGGTGGCCATTACCAGAGTGTGATCTGGCAAATTAGGGATGTTTTTAACATTTGTACATTGTAGCCTGCCACACATTGTGTTGGCCCTAGCACACATTTCATACGTAGAAGGACCTGTAATGCCACAGTTACCAAACTGATCGCCTTTCATATTCACTACATCATAGCATTGGTGGGGAGCTTCCCTGGCATTAGGTCCAAAAATGCTCTGGCACTGCATGTATCTGGATCTGCATCCCTTACTGAAACACAGGCCTTCATATTTGCAAGGGGTTCCATCTTGCTTGTAAGAATCCTCCGGACAGAATTCCGAGGTCCCATTGCAGTACTCTGCAAGGTCACATTCATTTGCTTCCTGTCTACACACATGTCCAGAAGGCAGAAAGTCACATTTATGACAGCAAAGCCCAGAGGAACAGTTGACACCTTCTTTCCATTTACAATCTGGTCCGCAGCACAGGTCTTTTTGGCAGTCTTCTGCTGAACCACAGTCACATTCCTCATAGTCTTCCACAATTTTGTTCCCACATCTCTTAATCACATACTCTAGTGCTGGGATATCAGATAGGCAAGATGCCAACTTGTAAGCTGTAAACTTAAAAAAATCTCCATAACTACAATTACTAAACCCAGTACGCCCTGTACCCATGATGCAGCTCTTCCTACCCCTGCATTGACAGAAGTCCTCATCGTGATTCATCCCCACAGAATGGCCCACTTCATGAGCAGACCAAGTGGCAGGTCCCAAAACATTGATACCTAGAAAGGTGCTTGCAGACCCAGCATTGAATGTGTCACATGACCTTCCCCAGGACCATGCAAGAGCATCGGAATATGCCCTTCTAACATATAAATGTGCCCAGTCTGAGGGAAGCCGAGGATTTAGCATGCTTCTTCTATACAGTACAAATTTACCCAAAACTTCAGCTAAAGTGGGATAGCCAACAAATATTTGGTTGTAATGTGACCATACTTCAATAGCCTTTAGATGTATTCTCATTCTGACGTCTTGGTAGTATGTGTCCATAATTGAAGTCAAAAGAATGGCATCATTTAAGACTCGAGACATATTATTCTTTGAGAACATAAACCTGGTCTGATCAAAGACCGTGACCAATTCCAAGTATTTTTGGTGCATGTAGTATTGATGGAAGTAACTTATCCTAGTCTCCACCTCTTGTTGGGCCGTTTGCAGATTTATGTCTTCATTAGGCAAACCACAAATCTGATTGTTAAGCTCCTCCTTCTTTAGGAGATACACAACATGTTCAAAACTGGTAGAGGCCCTAAGGGGCTCGATTTGGTAATATCTGGTGTCTATGTTCAAGATGCCACGCAGACCCCCCATACATGTACTAAGAGTTACTTGGGAGATCTGAGGCCCTTCCACTGAGCCGACAAAGTTGCATTCCCTGGGGATGTGAGGGTACTCCTCCAGCAGCTCCCCCTGTTCTGTGAAGGAGAAAAGGGGCAGATGTTTCGGCAACAGGAACTTCTTGGGCCACAAGTGGAGAACATGCTTCTTGCCTTCCAACTGCAAGAGGTAAGATAAGGTACTGGCCATGCCCCGCTCCTTTTTCCTGAGGCCCAGCTTTTGGGGCATGGTGATTTCATAGGAGTCAAACCCCCAATCCAGGTCAAATAAGTCGTTGCCCATAGACTCAAGGAAGAGCATTGCCAGAAGCAGCCAGCGGTCTTGGGGGAGGAAGGTCCACACTGCCCCCATGGTCCGCTAGGGAGTTGCCCCGTGGCAACTCCAGCCTCCTGTTAGACTTCCATGGGCTGCCTCCAGAGGCTCAGGAGCCCCAGTGCACAGCCCCAGTGGCTGGATTTCCGGGGATCCGGATCTCCCCAGGCCTGGTGGGGCTGATTTCCCCAGCCACGTGCCTTGCCCAACGCATCCAGTTCGTTTTCTGGGCGTTAGATTGAGTTCGCGCTAAGAACGGGGTTGGTGCACTAGAGGGCAATGGAGACGGAACAGGGAAATAGCAGATGACAACTTACTGGTCTCATTATATACTGTGCCGTTCAGTCTCTCTATGCACTATGGGAGATCAGAAGAAATTGGAGATTTGGAGTCTGAGAGCGCCTCAGAGGAGACACAAGCACACAGCCCAACAAGAGGAACGGAGAGGGTAAGTCGCTTTCCCTTGAATCAGAAGAAGGAGCACGCACTCTGGAGTCCAGACTAGACAGTCCGAGAACAGACAACTCAACAACGATCCCCCCACCTCCCCGCAGCAGGTCTGGCTCCTCAGAGAAGCTGAGCCCAGGCCAGTGGAAGCCTCTGAGCTCATTTTGTCTGGTGCCTCTTGGCTGTGTGTCAGAATTTACGTGATTGTGTTTCTGTGTAGGATAAGCATCTGTGGGGGAGGCAGTCCAGGAGTATTCTGAGAAGAGTAGATAGCGGGTGATGCAGCAATTGTGAGAAGTGAGACTACAAAGGTTAAGGAGTCCTCAGCTCAGAGGACAGAGGCTTAACATCCACAGAAAGAACGGGGTCAAGAAATGACTGACAGGAGCATTTTCAATTTGTCTTAGGAAATTTCTCAAGAAATGCTATCGGGATGCTGGGGGCAGGGCAGGAGGGGGTGGCAGTTAGGAAGAAAAAAAATCTTAAGTCAAGGAGATGAGTTTCAAAGCTGTAGCCCTGGGGCTGTATCTGACAAGGAAACAAAAGCATTAATTGGTGGCATAGCAATGGTGCCCAGTTTAGGCAGGTCTGCCCCTCAACTCTGTTGTCTGTCTGAGCAACTCTGAAGACAGGGAAGCACTGTAGGCTCTGCTGGAGTTTGTCCCGAATTGTGTTCCCTGCATGAAAGAGATGAGAATTTAAAAGGATGCTGATGCTGCTGGCTTCTGTGAATGTGAGCATCATGGCTCCAGTAACTCAGGAAGAGAAATTTGAACAAGCTGATGAAAGCAAGTGGGAAAAATGGACAAACTCTACCTGGGAAAATGTGCATTTTCGCTGGCTGGTGAGGATACATTTTTGCTTTGTAAATATACCATCATTATTCTTTGAGAATTTCGTATATACATACAGTGTATTTTGATCATCGTCACTTCCATTCTCCCCCCAGCTCCTCCCAGATCCATCCCCCAATGCTGTGTCCCTGTTTTCAGTTCGTGTTACCCATGTGCTCATGGGAATGGGGCCAGCTACCAGAGCTTGTCAGAAGCCACATCGTTAAACTGACTCCTCCCCAGAAACCATCAGCTCTGGATAGCTCCTCCATAAGGGGTGGGGGTTTGTGAGCCCCTCCCCCTTTATGCTAGGAGATTGGCTGACTTGATCTTGTGCAGGTCTTGTGTAGGCAACCACAGCTGCTGAGAGTTCATGAGTGCAGTGATTCTGTCACTACCAGAAGACAGCATTTCACTCCAGTCCTCCCCATACTGGATCTTACAATTGTTCTTTTCTGGCTTCCTTGGATGCTCCTTGAGCCTTGAGGGATGGGGGTTAATATAGATGTCCCGTTTGTGGCTGAGCACGCCACAGATGCTTATTCTCTGCATTTTGACCAGTTGAGAGTTTCTTCATTAATCACGTGAAGATGGGATTTCTAACTGTGGTCAGGTATGTGGACATCCTGGGCTAACCTACCTGAGCTGGACCTGACCAATCAGCATAATGCTGATTGAAGCCATAAATGCTGATGGCCACAGTTCAGGGAGCTATGCTGGAAAAGCAGACCAGGAGACCAGATGGGAGCCCTCGGGAAACCTAGGATTTAAGGTCAGGCTAAAGGAAGAAGCTTGCAATGGCTGGTGAAGGCATGGATGTGGATATGAGAAAGGGCAGGATAAAGGTAAGCAGAGCAGAGTTCCAGAAACACTGAATTTAGTCAAGGGGATGTCATAGCAACATGAGTGTAAACTGACTCAGGAAACTGCTGACTAGTGAAGCCAGACACCAGGATGTCAGTATGCAAACCAAAGATTAGAGAGGTGAGCTGGAAAACCTAGTCCACATCTTCAAGGAATGCAGCCCTAAGTGACACATCTACAATGCAACCTCTACACTCAAGGCTCAGGGAACATTGTGGAAAAGAGGGCAGAAAGAATGTAAGAGCCAGAGGGACAAGATACCTGCTGTTGGTTAATGCATTCTAGACATAATAGGGACACTACACCAATGTAATCTCCAGTGTGGCAGTCTAATGAGATCTGTATAATGACAAAACAGTGGTTGACATGCGAAGGTGAATGGGGGAAATTTCATGAGGTCCCACCTCAAGATGAAGAGCTACAGGCCACCAATGACAGCCGAGAGAGGGGGAGAATCACTTATCTACAGGGACTAACTCCTTGAGAGGTTATCTAATCCTAAATGGGCAGTCCTAAACACAGGTACACACGAGTACAACTAAATGAACTCGGTGTCTTATATATAAATATATACATGTATGTTATATATATTCATAAATATGTATGTATGCATGTAATAATAACAATCAAAGAAGAGGGCAAGAACCTGAGAGGGTAGGGGGGACATGGGAGGACTTGGTGGAGGACTGGGGGGATGGAAATAATCAAAGATAAGACTCATGTATGAAATCCTCAAAATTAAAAAAATTAAAAATTAGCTGGGCCTGGTGGTACATGCCTTTAATCCCAGCACTCAGGAGGGCAGAGGCAGGTTGATCTCTGTGAGTTCAGCGCCAGCCTGGTCTACATAGTGAGTTCCAGGATAGCTGTGGCTACAGGGAGACCCTGTCTCAAAAACACCAAAAAAAAAAAAAAAGAAAAAGAAAAAATTAAAAAGAAAAAGAAATGGCATTGCAGAGAAAGAAGCGATAGAAAAGAAACAGGATACACTCGCACAGAAAGCGGGGTTGATAGAGCAGAGTCCTGTTTCATCTGCTTGTGGGAAGATGTGCAAAGGGCCCAGGCAGCCTTCAAAGGTCGGGGGATGCCCCAGAAGTTCCCACTCAGGGCAGCGAAGCAGGAGGCCAGGGACCTCTGAGGGAGTGGCTAGGTGACCAGCAGCAGTGAAAGGGTCAGTGAGGGTCAGTCTGGGTCTGTAAGGTCAGCCACTGAGAGTGGGAGCAAGGGGGAGATGAACAGAGAGGGGACTCAGGAGAGCTGACCCAAGGGACTTGTGGAATCCCCAAGTGTGTGGAGTTTCCAGTTCAAGTGGAAATGCAGAAATTGTGATTTCTCCAGCTCATAATTCTGTTTGCTTTTCTCAACCCAGCTGTTTAAACTGAGGAGGGCAGTTGGGATCCATCTCTTGTAGCTATTGATGATTCAAATTCATCATCAGTTTCATCTCTGTGCCATTTTCCTCTAGGCTGTCTCACAGTTTACCTTAATACAGTTGAGTTTGTGTGCTCTGCACCATAGCATGTGTGTTCAACTTGGGACCTTGTGAAAACAGCCTGCTCCACACTGCTCTCTTTATTTGTCAAAGTTATACGTGAATATCATAAAGGAGGCAAATAAGCCTTAAAGATGCAGAGTGGCAAATGAAAGCCTGCATTATCCTCCAGTCCTGTATCCTAACACATTCCCTCCCCACATGGGTCAGTTAGATGTCAGCTGTTCTTCATCATGAGATAGGAGGTGTCTTTAGAAATAGAGAAATTACATATTTTAAGGCATTATGTTTTCTCTCTTTTTTTTTCCTTTTTTGTTTCTTTTGGAGACAGAGTCTTTCTATGTAATGGCTCAAACTGCAATGAGGCACCAAATCTGTGATCCTTCTGGAGTCAGAGGCAAATGCCACCATGCCTGGTAAGGTGCTGGAACCCTTGAGAAATGGGGTCTGGTTAGAGGCAGTTATATCACTGGAGGTGTACCTTTCAAGAGATACTGGGCCCCTTCCTTTCCTTTCTTTCTGCTTCCTGGCCATGCAGTAAGCAGCTTCCTTTGTAACATATTCTTGTCATGATGGTCTGCCTCAGCACAGGTCCAAAAGAAATAGGCCACACTGGGTGTGGTGGTACATCCCTTTAATCCTAGCCCTTGGGAGGTAGAGGCAGGAGAATCTCTGTGAGATCGAGGCCAGCCTGGTCCACATAGTGACTTCCAGGCAGGATGGGACCCTGTCAAAACAAAACAAAACAAAACAAAACAAAAAAAAAGAAAGAAAGAAAAGAAAAAAAAAGGAACCAAACTTCCAAAGGCAAGAATCAAAATAAACCCTTCTTGGGGCTAGAGAGATGGCTCAGTGCTTAAGAGCATTGGTTGCTCTTGCAGAGGACCTAGGTTCAATTTCCAGCACCCACACTGTGGCTAACAACCATTCTTAACTCCAGTTCCAGAGGATCTGACGCCCTCTTCTGGCCTCCATGGGTACTGCACCTAAGTGGTGCACTTACCTACAAGCAGACAAAACACACATACATAAATTTTTTAAACAAACACTGGGTGTGGTGGCACAAGCCTTTAATTCCACCACTTGGGAAGCAGAGGCAGGTGGATCTCTGTGAGTTCCAGGCCAGCTGAGGCTACAGGGAGACCCTGCCTCAAAAAGAACTTAAAAAAAAAAACAAAAAAAATTTTAACAAATAAATAAATCAATCCTTTTTATGAATTGATTATCTCAGATATTTTTTCACAGTAATGGAAAGCCATCTCCCCAGCAAAAAATGACATAAGGGGTCAGAAAGAACTCTGGAGAGGTAATGGCTGTTTATGGCCTTGGTAGTGGTGACAGTTTTATAGGTGTATATGTAGCTTCAAACACCATATATACACAGGGGAGAAATTAAATATGTGCAGTAATTTATGTGTGGATTATATCTCAATAAAGTGACCTTAAAGTTTATCTGTAAATTTATGATATCAATACAATGTAAATGATATATGATGACAAAAATGAACAGGTTCAGTTCAGATGTAGCAGCCCACCCCTGCTCCCCATCTCCATCTGCCATTTCTGCTGCACCTATCGGCCCTTAGTAGTTCCCGTCCCCCTTGATCTCCTGTGTTCTGTTGCCTTCTCCACCCCTTTCTTTGAAGCCTCTTTTAATAAAGTGACTTTAGTCAAGAAAATAGTACATACTATTCATATTATCGTGACATTGCTTTTCTCAGTAAGCAACATATTGTAAATAATTTTCTAAATGTACTTTGATGCCTCCCAACAGGTGTGTAGTTTTCTGCAATTAATCATTGATTTAACCATTCCCCTCTTGTGTGGTTGTCACATTGTGCTAGTTAAAAATTTACATTTATCTTGGTTTAAAGTTTTCCTATGTTCTGTTAGTAAATATGAACACACATGTAGGCCTTTACAACTTATATGTGCATATTTATATACTAACATACACATTTTTTGCACCTTGATAGCATTTTATATTAGATTGCCAGAATTTAAATTAGTGGATCAAAGAAAATAAAGGTGTTCCTATTAATGCTATCAAATAACCCTTAAAAAATCTTGTGCTTCTGTTCAGCAAATGGTGCTGGCAAAACTGGATCTCCACCTGTAGAAGAAGGAAACTAAACCCCCATCTTTCACCTTGCACAAAAGTCAATTCCAAATGGATCAAAGAGACCTCAATGTAAAGCCTGAAACTCTGAAACTGTTAGAAGAAAACATTGGGAAAAACATACAAGATATAGGTGTAGGAAAGGATTTTCTAAACTGACATCAGTTGCTCAGGAAAACAAGGTCAAGAAGCAACAAATGGGACCTCATCAAACTAAAAAGCTTCTGTACATCAAAGGAGGCAACCAGGGAAGCGATCAGAAAACCCACAGAATGGGAGAAAATCTTCACCAGCGACACATCTGACAGAGGTTTAACATCCAGAATGTATAATGAATTCAAAAAACAAAGAATTAAGAAAGGAAGTAACCCAATTAAAAGATGGGCTAAGGAGTTGAACAGAGAGTTCTCAAAAGATGGCTAAGAAGCATCTTAAAAGATGTTCAACATCACTAGTAATTAGGGAAATACAAATTAAAACCATTTTAAGATTTCATTTTACCCCAGTAAGACTGGCTAAGATCAAGAGAATAAATGATACCAAATGTTGGAGAGGATGTGGGGAAAGGGGAAGGCTTATCCA